CTAGAGTTGTACATTTTAAATTTTGTACATCTTTAAAGTTACATATCTTTTAACTTATTATGTTTCTACTTATTAATATGTATTCATGTGTGTTTTTCTAACCAAATTAGTTATCTTTTTCTTTTAGTTTTTGTTAAGATGGTACATTTGGGTGGGCAATTTTGAGTGCTGAGCAACATTTATTCCAAAATTTTATTTATCTTGCAATTAAAGGCACATCATTTAATTTATATGCAATGGTACCATAGCTGACCATCACTAGAAATGACAATATTTAAATGTTTATTAGCTGGAAATTCTTTTCTTATCTCTTTTTCCCCTATTTCACATTATGGAGCAGCCTTCTTAGTGTCTCTTCTACATGTATACATGGTAGAACATTTTGAAGAGCAGCTGGCATATAACACAGGTAGAAAAGGGTGAACAATGCTATTTCTCTAGGTCTGCAGAATTTTTTTTCCTCCTAAAACCAAAAGGAAAATTGATCAGCTTCTTCTTTTCGTTTCAGTTCCTACATATGATAACAAATGTCACTCCAGATGAGTAACTTAGTGGCAAATCAACATCCAAATTAGAAAAAAATCCAAAATAAAGTCCATACACAAAACTTACTTATCCAGATGATTTGTTAAACTGTATTTTTTATTCATGAGAGCAGGAGACAGAGAATGCTGCAAGTGCTCAGGTCTGTATCTCAAGGCAGGCCTCCATTAGCTGAGGCTGTCTGGGTGACCAATGTGTCAGGAGAGTGAGGAGGGTTTGGGTTAAATGGAGGGGAATAGTAAAAATGGCTTCTCAGCTTTCCCTTTTTATAGAAAAGTCCCAGCTCTGATGTGTATCAGTGGTGTTTCACTAGTTTTCCTTGCTTCCCAAGAGCTCTAGAAGAGTGATTGATGGGGAAGAAAGGTTTTATTTACTGTCTCTGTAGCCAGATCTGTACTTTGAGGTCTTTGAACTTTGTAATTGGTTGAGGAGACATCATAGTATTTTAGCAAGAACACTGTGTGATTCAAGAGACCTGCTTCTTAGTCCAAGTCCTGTATTGACTAGTTGTGTGACCACAGGAAATACACAACCTCTGTGGGCCTCAACTAAATGCCCTATAAAGTCCCTAGGGTTCTGAGAATTACTTAGTAATCAGAAAAACTTACATCATGGAGTCACACTTTCTGTTTTTCAGTTTCTATTTTCAGTAGTTCCCTGATTTACTAATTTCTTCTATTTCTGAAGGGCCTCATTTGGCATTTCTTAAAAATGTAATTATAGTATTAAAGCTATTTGTAAAAGCTATTTGAATCTAAAGCAAATTTGGTATTATGATCCTAAATAGATTTTGAAAACGTGAGCCAGTGGAAATAGTTTAAAATAATTTAAATATTTTCATTAAGCTTGACTTCCTAGGTGTTTTAGAATTGACTTATTCATAGAGATGCAATTCCTTGGAGAGAACTGAATTCTAATCTAAGAAAACTTGACATTTTATATTTCACATGTTAGGTTTTTTTCATACCAAATTATTGGTGATATGTTTTCCCCCAAAGGAACAGATCTCTCTAAAAAAAAAAAAAATGACATGTTAATCTGTGCATTATAACTGCGTTCGTTTAGAATTTTAAAAATTAGTTTTCTTTTTTCAAGTTTTGAATAACCCTTTATATTTAAATACCAGTTTTTCAACTTTTCTGTTTGTAGTTATTAACTATTCAATAAGCAGTTCATAACTTCTCTCTCTGTATATAGGTTTTTGAAACCCCATTATTTAAGTCCCTTTAAAACAAAAAATATAGATAGATGAACAGATAGTTTCAAACACATTATAGGATAGATTTCCTTTTTGGTTCTTCCTAAGAAAGACTGTGTTTTGAGCCAAATTAAATAAGAGGAAATTTAATAGGGGTAAGTGTAAAGTTCCTCTATGGGTTCAAAAAAAATCACCTGTAAAAATATAGGATGGGAAGTACCATACCAGAAAAAAAAGGAGATCTGGGCTTTTTCTTGACTACCAGCTCAATCTGAGTCAACAGTGTTGTTGAAGAGGTTTGGGGGTAGAGGTTAGGGGTACTGGGACCCCAAGAATGCCAAGCCAGAGCCTCCTGGAATGAATTCACACACTTAAGCCATCTTTCAGTCAAGAGACAGTTTATTATAATGCCAATAGAAGCCAGTGAAGTCCCTTTGGGGAACTTGTACCTTAATGGGGGTGAATTTTGAACTTATATAGAAAAGGGGCATGGGAAAGTAATGCCAGGGATGCTAATTAGATAATCTAAGGGGCCCAGGTGTCTTTGGGAGCTATAGATGGGAAAGTATTGGGAGTATACCAGACCTTGAGGGAATTGTCAGAGGCATGGATCTTGGGGAAGCAATAGAGACAGGATCCTTTGGCAGGCACCCTGGGAAAGAGTCCTTGGGTCAGTGTAACTGTCTCTTTCCTGATAAGGGAATTATACAATCGCAACAACAGAAAATTTTCTCATGGAGGCGGGGGGCTGGGTTACTTTCAGACAGATGGTCTTAGGGCTTTTTGGGGTCCAGATCCCACCACCCCATCAATGTCGCAGTTTAAAAAAAAAATCTTGGACCACATTAAGTCAAGAACAGGAGTGGTGAACAAACTCTTAGGGGATTTGTTCTGTGAAGTTTGGATTCATTCAGTCAAAGGGCTACACTTGAGGACCTAGAGGGCCACATGTGGCCTCAAGGCCGCAGGTTCCCCACCCCTGGTCTAGAACATGAGATGTTCTTTCTGTACTCTGGAATATGGTGTTCAGTACTGAATTCCTTATCTTAGAGAAAGGATATTAACAAGGTAAAACTCTACAAGAAGGGTGACAGGAGAGTGAAAGAATTGAAGACTGCAATATAAGGAGCAGCTGTAAGAAATGAAAATGTTTAGTCTAAGTCAGTGGTTCTCCAGGTGTGATCCACAGTCCCCTGGTGTTCCCTGAGAACCTTTCAGAGACTCCCCAAGGTCAAACTTATTTTTATAATAATACTAAGGTGTTATTTGCCTACTAAAAAACTTCTTCCTTTTCCATCTTTGTAAGGCTGGATTTTCTTCTTATAGGTCAACCAAAACAACATATCACAACAGATTAAATGCAGAAGCAGAATAAGAAACTAACTCACCAGCAGACATTAAAGAGATTTGCAAACATGTGAAACAATACTACTCTTCTCACTCAATAGATTTTTTTTCATAAAATAGTTTTATATGAACATGTAATAGGTTTATAATTGATGTTTTTAATGAATTAATATTTTTTTTCAAATTATCAGTTACAACTTCTAACAAAGCTATAATTGACATAAACGAAAGTTTGTGTTTCAGAGTGTGAAGGGGTCCTGAGACCAAAAACTTTGAGAATTGCTGATCTAGAGACTCTTTGGGAGAGGGACTTAAATATCTGTCTTCAGTTATTTGAGGGACTGTCTCGAAGATGAGGAATTAGGTTTGCTCCACTTGGTACTAGAGGATAGAGCTAAGAGCAAAAAGTAGAAGTTACAAAGAGGCAGAGTTCAGGTCCATCTGAGATAAACTCCCTAATGATCAGAACTGTCTAAAAGTGGAATGAGCTGCCTGAGGGGGCAATGGTTTCTTCTTACCTGAGGTCTTTAAGTAGGGGCTGGGTGATCGCTTCTCTGACATGGAGAGGCTCCTCTCATTAAGGGATGGGCTGGAGGCCCTTTCCAGCTCTGAGTTTTCCATAATTCTGGGAAGTGGTAGTTTATTTGCAACTTCAAATGGCTGAGGCTAAGGTATCACTATAAACAAATCTCTAGCACAACGTGAATGGCAAACCTAGAAATGAAAGAATGTTACAGATCAAGTGAAATAAAGAAAACTATCATCTTTAATGCTTGTTTATTGACAGAGATCCTTCCCATACCTAAGCTATAACTAAGGCGTAAAATGCACTTTTGGAAACCACATTAAAACATGTTGGAAACATCATAGAAGCAAGGAGTTACTATACTGAAGCCTCCAAAAGGACTTAATTTACTCACTGGGAATTGTTTATAACAGGATAATCAACATCATAATGTAATGTCCCATAACTGTGCCAATTACATAGTTCCTATCCCTTTAGAGTTTATCTCTTAAGAAAATCCTTTACAAAATCAGATAAGGAAAGAAACTAGATATAATGAGTAGAAAATCCAAATTAACCTTAGTACAAGGGGGACCCAAGTCACCCTAGAGATTTCTGTCAGTCCTGTGGAAATGAAAGGAGAAAGAGGTTTTAATTAAGAGAATGTATCATCTCCATATCCACAAACCTTTCACAAACAACCAATAGAATTGTAGTGTGAATTACGTAATACATGTACTTGGAAAGTTAAGCATAAAACTACAGAGTAAGCAAATTTATATAAAGCGACCCTTAAACTGGAAAACCAAGCCTTAGCCAAGAATAAGTAAATTGACATTAGATAAACACCATTTCAGCAAAAAGAAACAGTCCTGTTATAAAATTACTTCCCCCATTGGCCGGAAACTAACATTACTTTCTCAGTGCCAGGATAAACAGAAGCTTGACTGTCTTACTACCTTAGGTCATTGTAAGCCTGCAAGATAGAACATAAAGGTTCAGAATCATTTCCAGACCACATTTTATTCTTCCTATTGGGATCTAAATTGTTTTAAAATTAAATGAACCCTAAGAATGTTAGTAATCAGTTCCTATAGATTTTACAGAAGGTGAAACCAACCAGTTCACTGAATTTCTAGCCACTTTAGATCTAATATTAATTCCTTAATAATTAGACTATGCTATAACTTCTGTCAATTAGTATTTATTAAGCACCTACTATGTGCCAACCACTCTGCAAAGTGCTGATAATAATGGTATCAATAATCTATTAACTTCCTGTCTTAATTATGGATAGTATTCTTTTTGCTTTTTTCTTATATATATGGACTTTTTAAAAATTCTTTAAAGTTAATAAAATTTAAAACTTTTTGTGAATTTAATGACTGTTAACTATTATTCTTCTAGGAACTCTGTGGAGAGCAAATCAAACAAAGGATTTAAAGAAAGTTCTTAAGGACATCAATAAAGAAATCCCATTGGTATTTGTCAGTGGAAACCACGACATTGGTAATGTTCCTACATCAGAAGCTGTAGATGAGTATTGCCATACTTGGGGAGATGACTATTTCAGCTTCTGGGTTGGAGGAGTGCTTTTTCTTGTCCTGAATTCACAATTATATGTTGATTCTTCTAAGTGCCCCAACTTGAAAAAGGCCCAAGACCAATGGCTTGACACTCAACTAGCAATGGCGAAACAGAAGATGTGTAAACATGCTGTTGTATTCCAGCACATCCCTCTTTTCCTCAAAACTGCCGATGAAGAAGATAATTACTTCAACATAAGTAAGCCAGTACGCCAAGAGTTAATGAGAAAGTTCGTCAATGCAGGTTGGTATTTTTTGTACTTTTACAATTTTTTTAAAATTTTCCTCATTTTATCTTATATGTTATTTCTACCTTTTGAAGAAATTAAATGACCTAAGATTTTGAGGTAATGAAGTCCACAGCATTGATATCCATTTTAAAAATGATGTAAGGGGAGGAAATATGGTGTCTAGAGGAATGGAAACCTGTAATGCTTCAGAAGGAAAAGGCCGTTATATAAAGAACACTGAGCTGGGGGTCAAAACATCTGGTTTTCAGTCCTGACTGCCCCTTACAAACCTTGTGACCTTGGACGATCCCTTTCCCTTCCTCAGCCTCAATTTCCTCTTACTAAAAATGAAGGAAGTGGATTAGAAGTCTCTAAGAGCCTTCCAGTTCTTTGATTCTCTTAGCCCGAAGGGGAGACATGCAGAGCCCCTGATGGGACAATCACCAACTTAGCTTCATCCTCTGAGAAAGTAGCTGTGATAGCTTTTATCATCTGTACAGAGAACAAGTATAGGGCAGCAATATACTTTTCCATTTCCACAGATTGCATGTTTATATAAGGAGGTTACAAGTTAAGAGTAAAACTTCTTTTTAGTATCTTAGAAACATTGAGTAGTGACTTTAATGGGGAGGTACAAAGGAGATATTTAATAGTTTTGTTTTGGTGAGATGGACTGAGTTCTTCCTAGCATTTTATAATCAATAATACATTTGACCTGAAACCTGACCTTGTGAAAATGTAGTTAGATATGATCTGCTATATTTTTGTCCCAGTCACAGTTGGGTATTTGTTTGGTAGGGACTATTAGGTTATACCTAATGGGCTAGCCTTCCAAAGAAATTTGGTAATAATAAAGTGAAGAGATTTCAATTGCAGAAGATTGTGCTAAATATTAGGAAAGTAATTATTATTAAAAATGCCCGAGAAAACCTTGATAGACTTCTTGTAATCTTTGTTCATTAAGTATGGTAGCATTTATTTGTGAAGAATAATAAGCACTTCTCTATTTGGGGAGATTTTCACATAAGGCAAGCATAATAGGAAACATTTTTCATCTGTACCATGGGGATGTAGCTTTCATTGGGCAGATTTCATTAAGGTCTTTGAACTTTACTCCATGCTTGAAGTGATGCAGAAAACCATCTCAGTGACAAGTGAATTGAGTGTCAAGGTGTCATCAAAGCCTCTTTGTTTCATTTCTTAGAGACTTTTGCTGTAGGAAATAGTGTCAGTGAAAACATTTAATTTCACTGAAATTATTTCTTTCATATCAAATGTTAAGCCATGTAAATGTCATCAGTGTGACTGGTATTTATTTGTTAATGCAGTATTTACTTCTGTTCCTTGTTCTCTGTTTTTGTGTAGCTGCCTCCTGATCAGAATGTAAGACCAAACTTCCCTGCATACCTAAATATTCTTTATAAGCATAAACCTAATACTTCATCTCTCCTTAGGAGATTGAAATTTAGGTCTGAGAATGGCTACCTCTTCCTGTACACTTTCGTATCATGATGAATTTTTAATTACTCTGAAATTTCATCTTGGAAAATCTAGAAACAGAAGACATCCTTCAAACAGGTTCCACATTAACCTCTGATTCTGACTTTGTTAGCTCAACAGATCTCCCCTTTTAATGACTTTCTGGCCCACCCCACACCCACCTCTGCTGCAAAAAAAAAAAGAAGAAAAAACGGCAATTGTGGGAAAAGGAGCTTAGGGTTTCATTTTGACACTATTGTGTCAATAGGTGAATTACATGTTTGGTTTAGAAGTGTAATTAGATGGGTTATAATGGTATAGGTAAGCATCTATGAGTAATTCAAAAAATTTCTTGTTTAATAGCAAATTAATTTGAACCCATTTTGGAAAACCAGAGGGTCAAGTAATATTTTGTAAAAATTCATTAACTCAAAGAACATGATAAAAATTATAGGTAATGATAGCAGATTGTATTTAATATTGCCTCAGGCTTTTTCTGAGTAGTATTTTTTTTTCCTAATACTATTTCAGTCTCATTTTTCTAGTTGTGCTGAAATGCCAGTACTCAAAAATATGTCAAAAGCTCATCAGAATATTAGGATAGCTTTTAATTATGATAATTGTGTTGTGATAAAACAGCCTTTTAAAGAACAAATCCCTCCCCAAACAACCATAGAGGCCAAACCCAGATCCTTTAAAACTATTTTAATGAATAATTCTGAATCATTGTGTGGGATGAATAAATGATTTAATAAGGAATACCAATAATCTTCTCACATTGTTGTATTAATTTTTTTTAAATGAGAGGAGGCCCGTGAAGAGAAGGAGGAAGAAGCATACAATAGGGCAACTGCATAACGCTGAGATGAGTTCTCTTAATCAGAAAATGTGAGCTCTTCATGTCTACAGGTTTCCTTAGTAACAGATGCATTTGGTTCCTACGTTTAGTCTCATGAAAACCTCCTTTGTATGTGTACAAAGTGTTGTCAATAGATAGTATAAATAAACAGTTATCATGGCAGGACAGATACACAGATATGAAATTGCACCAGTTACATTGTATCTTTTTTGCCTTCCTCAGGAATAAGCAATTTCATCATATCCACAGTCATCAAAATTAGTTTTCCCTCTAATTCACTTGATACCTGTTTTGAGTTCTAAGAAACAGATAATAGACAATGAAGTCCCAGTTATACCTCTATATTTTCTTTAGCCATTGCATTTTTTTCAGCATGAAGTTAATATCCTGAGCAATTAACATGTATAGCAATTTTTAAAAAACTAAATCCTAAAAAAATTACTTTAGGTTTTCAATGAACATGTTTCCCCTGATATCCTTTGTGCCTTTTTCTTTTCTCAACATAGTACTTAGAACTGTGTTTTAAAATGCCCCAAGCAAATTTAATAGTTATTTAAAACTCGTCAGTTGATTTTTTTTCCTCCTAAAAGTTAATAAGGAATTTCATAGGATTGGGGATTTCCCCCCCAGTATGTTTACTTTCTTTTCTAAAACAGAAGTGGAAGGTGATACAAGGGAGAATGTTGTGGCTCACAGTGGTGGTTTTGGAATCATCAAAATTTGGAAGACAAAATGCATAGTTTAGAGGGTCTAAAAGTCAGGCTTCATAGTCATCCTAAGCCACAAAAGCATGGGCCCAGATCTGGTCACCAGCACAGATTGGAGAAGTATTCTCTGCTGACCTTCAGGTGGAAAACTCCATTACTCATGGAAATGTTTCTCATGTCAAGTCCTGAAAGTCTTAAGAAATCATACATAGTTCTGTGCCAATTAATAGGGATGCTCCCATTAAAGCAGTTCCTAGAATATTTCAGAGGAAGATCTGCCTTTCTCCCTCCTTCCAAATAGTCATTGTAACTTGTGGAAGCACTACTATCCAGGTGCACTGACAGACCTCACACGGCCTGTGTGGAAAAGTCTCTCAGCAAGATCTGCTTATTATTCATATTCTGTCTCTGAAGGAAAAATTCCTCTGGAATGCATTCATGTGCTAAACTTATATTTTTAACTTATACAATTTTGATTGATTTATTGGCAAACAGACTTATATGCAAACTTTGTAATGTATCCCCTACATGATGTTCATTTTTAAGTTCCTCACCTAAAAGTCATGAAGCAAAGTTGACCATATGTTGTTGTCCTTAGTGTCAGATTCATTCCCTAAGAAAATATTTCAGTGACGTTTTACCAATCTTCAAATTAAAAAAACAGGGAAAGAATAACAAACAGTCGTTTTATTAACATTTTCACAATACAAAAACTCTAGGAGTAAATCCACTTCAGTAATTTTAGCCTCTTGATTTCATTTTCCAAGTTTAGATCTCATTTTGATGTGGTTAGCTACATTTTTATGTTTCAATCAGTTTTGTGTAAACATCATGTTTTAGTCATTTGATGTCTATATTTCATTCACTATAAACCTAGATAAAAGACCAACTGCAGAAGCTACATCTGGTGTGAAGTGATGAATTGCATTTCTCACATTGGAGGTATCCTTAACAGTTGGGCTAATTAAACTTAAAATCATGTCCTTATGATAAATATTTATAAATTGAGAATCTGGTGCTTGTAAATGAGTACTGTTACGTTTTCAAGTTAAACAGATAACTCTTCGTGGAAAATAAATCATTTTCTTTATTATTTTGTTGTTTCCTTTCCACCTGCCCTCCTCCCCCCAAAAAACCAGTGATTTTTGGAAAGTGACATTTTTGTTTCAAGTAGTACAAATAGCAAAGGACACAAAAACACTGACCAGCCCTAACTAGATCAAGACTTAGTGAAATGAAAATACTAGAGTTGGTGCTTTTAGTTCATTTTAACAAGAATCAGTCTAATTTTGCAATTACCAGTTGTGTTCAGCACTAGAAATTCTGGTTTCTGTAACTTGAATAAACATTTTCATATGCTAGATACAATTTTTTTTTCCACTTACTAGAAATTAGATGTAACTGTAAGGGGTAGTTTTCTTTTCATCTTAAGAAGAGACTTGTTGATATCCTAATTTGTGAGGCAGCATGGGGCCTTGGAGAAAGCAAACTTCTGTATCGAAATGACCTGGGTTCAATTCCTCCTTCTGATACATGTTGGCTCTGTGACTCTGAGCAAATAATTTAACCTCTATGTTTCCTAGGAAACTAACTCTCTAATACTTTAAATTGCATCTTTTTATCCTCAATGCCTAGCAGAGTGCCTCACATATTCTCTGAAGTATAATGCATTAAAAAAAAGGATGACATTGTTCTTTCACTGTGTGTGTGTGTGTGTGTGTGTGTGTGTATACTATGTGTATACATGTCTTCAATACATATAGAATTAGATATACACACAATAACATTCCAGTCCTTTGAACTGACTACAAATTACCCAAAAAGAATCATTTTTGGTGAATAATTTACACTATTGCATCCACTTTTAATTTCACAGATTACTCATGTGTTTGTGGTCATATATCTTGTGGTTCTCCAGGTTGAGTGACTCTGAAGTTTTATACAGCAACCCCCTTAGTGTCATGGAAAG